TCGTAGGTCTATCTTTCCTTTGTCGCTGAGACGTCGTAAACTGTTATAGGGTGTCTGAGAACTGACTCACAGTATCGTAGGTCTATCTTTCCTTTGTCGCTGAGACGTCGTAAACTGTTATAGGGTGTCTGAGAACTGACTCACAGTATCGTAGGTCTATCTTTCCTTTGTCGCTGAGACGTCGTAAACTGTTATTTATAGGAATGAACTTGGCTTGTTTCCTTTGGTTTTTCTATCCCCCAAAGTGGAAATTTGACCCAAAAATTCCGATGTCGTGTCATTACTTTTGCTAAGTTGAGTATAAGATGGCTGTGCCCATAGAAGTCATGCGAGCTCAGTTAAGGGAAAACTTTGATTGCTTGACAGGGAGACATTACCGAACGAACAATGATAAATTATAATCAAATATGAGTTGAAAAGGAATTTTTCAGAGTTATATTGGATTGAAATTTAATCTTATTTCATTCTTGCTTACATTTTGATGTATAGTAATGGTTTCTAGCTTCTACAGCTTTTATTTTAATACTGCAACTTAAAAATCTCTCTGTGTTTGTTCAGTTAGTAAGATGTAAACAGAATAATCCACCACTGGGGCGGCTTAAAGGTTTCCTAGGAATTCCTCCTTCAAACGGTTGATATATTCTGCTCCACAATACCTGGCACAGTTCACAATACCTAGCACAGTTCACACATTCTGCTCCACAATACCTGGCACAGTTCACAATACCTGGCACAGTTCACAATACCTGGCACAGTTCACATATTCTGCTCCACAATACCTGGCACAGTTCACACATTCTGCTCCTCAATACCTAGCACGGTTCATAATACCAAGCACAGTTCACAATAGCTAGCACAGTTCCCATAGATTAATTAGAATTTGTGGAAGTGGACTCAAACTCAATATTTTCTTGTTTCCTCAATGATTTGTTCCAGAATGCCGAGGTCATCAGGTTTGAGCTGGACGAGGACAAAGTGGCAGAAATGTTGAGCAACATGAGGGAGATAGACGCTCAGATCCACAAGTATACGGGGAAATAGAGTGTGTGTGTGTGGGTATGTGTGTGTGTGTATGTATGGGTGTGTGTGAGTGAGTGTGTGTGTGTTACTGGTAACTTGAACATTAGCTGAAGTGAAAAGTTTGATTAGAACAGAATGATGGAAATCCCTGGTCATGTTATCTTTATGTGAAGCCTCAGTGAGTGTAGAGTATAAGTGTGGTATATGAGTGAGTGTAGAAGTCTGAAGTATGAGATAGTGTATAAGTCTGAAGTATGAGATAGTGTATAAGTCTGAAGTATGAGTGAGTGTAGAAGTCTGAAGTATGAGATAGTGTATAAGTCTGAAGTATGAGTGAGTGTATAAGTCTGAAGTATGACTTGTGTATAAATTATATACCTGCGTTAATAAATTATTCAGTGGAACAAGGAACATTCGCTGTTTCTCTCTATTTCTCATTTGATGTTTGGGCTGCAGTGTGTTGTGTTTGTTACTTTCAACTGGTCTGTCAGTGAAGTGTGCTGACCTCTCTTGACCCTGGCACACGTTGGACCTAAAGCCAGAGCTGTTAAAGTACTTTAAAAAAAGTACTTAAGTACAAATTTAAGTACAATCTAAAAAATGTACTTAAGTACAGTAAAAGTACTTTCTTGTAAAATGTACTTGAGTACAAGTACTTTTTAAAAAAGTACTTATGAGTAGCCTACATTTTGAGTACTTTCTGCTAATATGCTAAAACTAAAACACTTCTGCGCTTATGTAAAACATCATATTAA